TCTGCTGAAAGTGACGTAAGTATCCTTCTCCAAATACGAACGTGGAAATGGCGCAAAAAAACGTGAACGATTTTTAGTTTCCAAAGTGGAATTGATTTTTAGATTTCCAGCGGAATAAAAACTTTGCCTTTTGATCCAGTTTTCTCAAGTTGGGTTCATGTTATCAAAAAAGCGCCGACCATAAATTGTTCTGGAAAATCATCTATTTTTTTCTTCAAATTCGAAAGTTAAGTTTTTTATTTCAAGAAAGTCCGTTTTTTTATGTTTACTTGCGTGCATTACTCTTTTCCAATCTTCGATTGGCTATGTTTTGAAATTATCTACTTCATCATGCATCAGTACAACAAATTCAAAAAGTATCAAACATGTACCTCCAGCTTTAGCTGGGCCTCTTTTTTCATTGATCTATGTCTAGCTGAAAATTCCTGTTTGATAAAAACAGGTATTATGAAAATGCATGGGACTTTTTTTTTTCAATTTTCCTTTTTTTTCAATTTTTTTTCTTCAAAAATTTAGTTTTTCTCAAACTGCTCTACCGATTTTTCCCACTTTCTACAGCCTTTGAAAAAGTGTGTTGGGGGAATTTTAGACCCATATTCTTGGAACTTTTATTTTCTCAAAAACTACCATACGAAGTCTGAGATTTTGGGCTTAATGGATAGAACAGGTTGTAAGACGCTCATCTGCGCAACCGACTACGCCCAATTTTTTTCACCTTAACTTATTACTCTAGGAAAAACAGATTTTTTGACCGTTTTTGAATCTTTTCGACTTTTCTCGAAATTTACCCTAACAAATCTTCATGAGCGGCTCAACACAAATTTTTTTACTAAAAAAATTACAAATTCGGATTAACAAATTATGCGATTTTTTTGCCTTTTTGCAATTTGTTGACTTGTCTCGAAAATGCCATCCCAATACTGAGATTTTGGGCTCAATGAAAAAGGCTTGAGCGAAGCTCCCTTTTGTAAGCTCTCACGTCCAAATTTTTTTAACAAAAAAGTATTGGCCTTCAGAAAAGTCAATGTTTCGATTTCTTGTTGTTTTTTGAAACTTTTTAACTCCTCTCGAAAAGTCAATCTGATATCTAGGGTTTAATGGAGGCAACAGGCTGTGGTAAGCCTCCGTGCATAAGATGCTACGTCCTTAAATTTTTTCAAAAAAATTATGTCTCTGGGAAAATTTCAAAATCACAAAAATTTAACTCAAGTTCTAATAGAGCAATAATTAGTTTTGGGTGAAGCCCAATTTTTTTAATCCCGCATCAGTACAACAAATTCAAAAATTATCTCCAGCTTTAGCTGGGCCTCTAATTCTTTGGAAGAGTTAATGAAATCCGCTCAAAAAGTGCATTCATTGCTGCCTGCCGAAAGGTTTTAGGGTCGAACGGTCTTGTGGACTGTTTAAGTATTTGCTTCAGACGCAGCAGATAGTGGTTTCAATCCCCGATGTCTTATGTTGGCAGTGCAAGCTTTTCGGCCGATTTTCTTGTTTCGTTGAGTTTTTGGGACGTAGTTTTTGCTTGTTTGAAAAATGCAGCGTTGAGCCAAAAAATAGACCTTTTGTTGCTCGCTTTGGCATATTTATTGGCACGGAACGCTGGATTAGTAAATTTTTAGAGTTATTTGATCGAACGTCACAAGACAGGTAAAAGTGGATGTCCTGAAATAGTTTCAAAAGACAACCTTTGGTATGTGAGGTTGTCAATTTTCTAAGAGTGTAAATGTACTATTTTCAGAAAGAATTTGAATTTTATCGCATGTTTCGACGGATTTTCAGCAAAAAAGTCTTGATCGTTTTTATTGGGCGTCTATCGTCAATAATTTTCAAGCATAAAAATTCTGACATTGTAAATATCTCGAGAATTTGAAACAGTCACAAACTTAGTAGCTTTTTCGGTTGTCTCGATTTGGTTAACGCTTTACCTCTTGTCTCTTTCTTATCCTCCAGAGCAGTGGCGGGAGCAGGATTTCTTTTTTTGGGGGGGGGGGCTGGTTTCATTTTTTGCAGACAAGGTTTAATTAAAAATTGAGTTTTGAAAGAAAAGGGTGCATTAAAATGTACATGAAATGACAAATCAGCTATTTTTGAACTTCACATAATTGTAGGGTCTCTGCGGTCATAATCAGGAGGAATGAACTCCTGTTAATTCCAATGTGGGGCTGTTTCCTTCCGCTGTCTGCAGCTATCAGTCTGAACAGATCAGACTTATTTTTATCCAAAAATAGTGTTGTATCGACCTTCTGATTTAATTAAGTTCCCTTCCAGTTGTGGCGAACCAATCCTAAAGTCGGATGGTTTTCCCTTGAAAGATTTCAAATAATTTATCTGCTCAAAAAGTGTTGTTCGATTTTTGAAAATTCTTTGAAAAAAATTGATCTTTAAAGTAAAATTTAAAACAAAATGAAATTAATTTTCTTGTTTTTCCCCTTGTTTTTATTTAGGCAACATGATTTTCGGCTTCTAGTTGGCATATATAATTCAGTTCAGTTGGGTTTTGAAGTGCATCTAGATCAGGCAGCGAATTTGGTCTGTGTTTTAATTGCTCATTTCGCACGAAAGAGTGAACAAATGACAGGACAAAGACTATCTGCAACTTCAATGTCTTTTCTCTTTTTAATTTGGGCGTGAAAAAACTCTCCTCTCTTGAATTCTTCCCTGAGCTTTGAATGAAAATATAGGCTGGGTTTTTTTTTCATCTCTCTTTTACAGTTGTAAACTTGTTTGTTTACCAGCGGATTGTTGTGTGTATGTTGTGTGGGTAGAGCTATTTATTTTTTCAGTAAACTGAGCTGACCAAATTGTGTACCGGTGAAAACCACGGCAGGTTTTTGTATGCAAATAGATTGAAATTGAACCAAGTTGCGAATCGCAAGCATCGGTTGAATTTAAATCAGTTTTTCATTCAGTTTTTCAAGTAACTGCCTTGGTGAATTTTTTGGTGATGTGGTTTTTGGTGTTTCGGTACAGCTCGGCGATCAAGTTAGAGACGTCGAAAATGTTTGCGGAAATTTTTTTTCCAATTCTCCGTGAAAAAAACGTAGATTAATTTCTGGTTGCGTTTTGCGTGACTTGTTTTTTTTCTGATCCCTTTCGCTGTAGGGGTGGGGGGAGGTTCCGTCTGCAATGTAGGCAGCGTAAAGAGACTACATGCAATTCAAGTATGATATCATGATATCAAACTTTTTTTAACCGGGAATCGGTTTTTAGAGAAAAGCATCCATTTTTTACGGCGTTTGAGTAACCAGTTTCGAAATAATTTGGCAAAAATGTTCTCTTTGATGGCTGCCCTAAATTTTATGTTGGTTTCTGACCATAGCCTGTGGGATATTTTTGCGTCTCGCCTTTTAATTTTTTTTACTTATTGATTATACGCCGTACCGCCCCCAGCTTATATAAAAACACTAACACCAAGCGGCTTAAGGGCTCCCAAACTGTTATTCTTGTATTTTTGGGGTATGTTTTTAGTCTCCTTAATTTGAGGGCTCTAATGAAAAGATATTCATCCAAATTTGAAAACATTTTAAATAACAGATGACTCTTTGCCTCTTCGTATTATTATTATTTTTATTTCATCATGAGTGACCTTAAGTTGCAATGAAGACGGAGACAGGGAGGCGCGAGGATTGAAAAGCTTATTTGATAATTTTAAACCCGATTTAGATTGAGAATTTCGATGTTTGTTGCGCTAGTTGATACTAAACGTACCTACACATTGGTACCCAAATGGTAATCCTCAAGCTTTAGTCTTGTTGTCCTTTTATCAATTCCAGTTTTTTATTCGATCTGTTTTGTTAGGGCAAGGAAGCATACCATTGTTATACCTTGAGGCGAAATCTTTATGTTAATCCTTTACCTTCTTTTTTATTCCGAATCTTCCCCTAAACCCAACCTGCCAAGGTCCAATTCTCTACTAAGCGAAGCGTAGTTATTGTGGCGTGACGATGCATTAGTATTAAACTGCAAATTGCACGACACTAATTAAATGATTGAGTCTGTCTTGGTCACATACATCACCGTCTTAAGACAAAGTTACTATAAGCTCTTCTTTTGATGCGGGATCACCCGTCCCTTTTTCCTGTAACCTTGTTATTGTTCCGACTTTTTGCTGTCGTAGCTCTACTGTCTATTGTCTTCGATTTTGACGGATGGAAAAGACGTTTATTCTGGAAATCGATAATCTCTAAAACTTCAACTGAGCAAATACTGATTTGGTGTTTAGTAAATTTGATGGATGATTTAAACGACTACATGTGAGCAGTCTTCATCCGATTATTTTTTGTCAATTTGAAATTGAAAATTGAGTGACGCTTAATAATATTATCAGACTAATTCATTGCCATTATTCGTTATTTGGTGTCTTTTTATAGCTTGGAGAGTGTTTTTGCGTCTTTTTTTTCCAATTTTTTTTCCTATTGAGCTCGTAGCATTAAGAAGGAAACAAAACTATAATAGCAGCAATACAATGCCTTTGTAAAGCAGAATGTAACGTCAATTTAGATACGTTTCGCATTCGCCTTTGGTGCAAACAGCTTAATTATCGGTCGTGATTAAAATGGCAACGGAAAAGAAGAAAACCCGATATTTTAATGAAACCTTCGTTATTTTGTTTTGCCCCTCTTTACGTCTCTTGTTTATACATTTATTTTTTCACAACTAGCCAACATTTGCTAAACGCCTCTTTGTATTCGCGCTATTCAAGGAAGTTGCCCAATTTGAAATCTTAATTATGAAAAAAAATGTCAAAAGGAGTGTCGAAATAGGAACACAAACCGGAAATTTATCAACATGCGGCTCATTAAATCTCGTTTAATAACTTCTTAACCTTTTTCAACATCATTGATTATTTACTTCTACTACTAACCAAAACTATTTAATACTGAAAACTACCTTTAGCTCCATTTGCTTAATACTTTGTCTATTATTTAAACAGGAACTTAGTTGGACGTTATTGAAAATGGTTCTTATTGCCATGTAAATTGAATCGATTGTGGTTTTAGCTTGCGTGGCAGTGCAAATTATGTCGCAAAAGAGCGGACATTTTGGCAAAGAGTGGTAAATGGGCAACACCCCTGCCGGCTCCGAAAGAGTCTCTCCAAGGCCAGAGTCAGAATCCAGATCAACAGCAACAGTCTCAGTCGTTGGAGTCTAGCAGCAACCAAACTGGAAAAACATCACAAAACCAAAATTTACAACAATCAAACTTAGTTTCGAAAACCAGCATCCAGCAATCTCAAAATCACCAATCAACGCCTACTAGGACAAATAATTTACCTCCAGGACAAGTGAATTTTCAGAACCAACAGGTTAATCCGAATCATACTCCGAGTCAGAAATCACCACATGCGAACCAGGCAAACGGAAAAATAGATGCTGGAATTGGCCAGACATTCTCGCAATCATTTCCAACAAAAAGTCAGGAATCGAGCCCAACTTTAAACAAGCAACAGACATCTCAGAACCAACAAAGTAACCAGCCTCAAACGTCGGCACAACAGCAAAATCAGTCTCCCTTCTCACAGCTAGCCAAATTTTTACCCAATGTCATCCAACCGTTAGCTCAAGCCGCAACTGGAGGTCATTCCCATTCGAACATTGCTGCTGCACAGAATAAGCAGCATCCAAATCAGCTAAACATAGACACCAAAAGAAACCAGAAAGGTCTATTGGGTAATGGACATTTAGCAAACATGCCGGCATCTTCCGATCCGCCTCCACCTCCTCCTCCTAGGAGTCCACAGGTGTACGATAGAGTTCTCCCAGCAAGACGTTCGTTATCTGGTCGAGGAGTTCCAGTTAAGTCAAGGGCCGGTGGTGGTAATTTAGCTCCCCCTAGACGAAGTGCGCCGGCGCCACCCACGGGTAACATGACAGGTTCCGGACCCCCAAGAAGAGTCCAGCCCTCCAATCAGACTCATCAAGGACATTACCCAGACGACCCGCATGGGGTTGTAGGTGCTAATTATGGATCGACTCGGAACGACGATTTACCGGATAGCGGCTACCGTTCAGAGTCGAACCGAACGACGAGTAGCCGAGACTCGGCCGAGAAACGAAGGCGTGCCGAGTACATGTCGCACGTCAACGACCGCGAACGGAGAGAAAATCAAATGATGCGCAAAATGGACTCGATAAATTCCGAATATTCGACGAGTTACGCGGACCAAGAAAATATGTACAGAGGTCAATATCATCAACAGGGTTCTATGGGGCCGTACGGGGACCACCCGGATATTAGACACACGATGTATCCCAATGAACCGAGGTCAAATGTTGGACCAAAGGGTAGAATAAAAACGAGCAAGAAAAGAGATCATCCGAGGTACTATACTTCGGGATCCGGCAGGTCTTTCAGCAGCAGTGAGGAGGATATACGATCCACTCCGGACTTGACAAGTTGGGACGGATTTGAGTCGGAGAGCCTAGTCAGTGATCGAGGTTTGTTGTCTGTCTTCCGTTTTTTGTTATAATTTTGAACTAGGGATGTGTGGTGGATTGAAAACGAATCGAATTGCATTGGTACAATCCCTCGTTGAATTGACTTTTAAATTTCATGAATCGCGCATTCCTATTTTGATCTTGCAGTATTGGTTATTGAAGCCAACCATTTTAACATGAAAAAAGATTTGTATCTTACACTAATCAACAGACCCAAAAATAACAGGCGTTCAGACCATCTAAGTTATTGAAATTAAGTTTTGATAGACGTTATTAACCAACTAAAGATCTAACTACAGTTTTCTTGTTCATCATCAGGACTTGACCTTTGGGACGATTACGGTACTGGTGGATATTCCTCAGCTAATAACAAATCATGGGTAACAATTAAATCGACCAATTTACGAAAAAGTTCATGCATCAGCCAGTTTGTGTAATTCGCGTGCTTGTATTGTAGATGTTTCAATCCGTTTTAGTTTGCAATTTAGTTTCAAATACTTTGTAGAAATATGATGTCTCAAAAAGAAAATGGCATCAAGTTTTCTAGCGATGAAAACATCTTCATTTTTAGAGGCTCAGTTTGTGCTTTGAATGATCTCTTTCGTATTAGCGTTGTTTAGTGAGCGATGCATTAGCGTATGATTTGCAGGGGATTATCGCTGTGTCTTACCCAGGTGTGTCTTACCAAGTATTTTTAACCAGGGGCAGGTAAAGGGTGGCTGACCTCTACGTTCATAGAATACACGGATCCATCATGAGGTTTTGTTAACATTATCAGATCAATGGATCCTAAGCATAAAGTTCTTACTTCAGACAAAAAGAGACAGATTCCAGTGGGTATTGCTAAGCAGATACAGTATGAAACCCACGAAGACTTATTGTTAATGAATACCACACGAATTTCTATCATCCAGCTGAATAACGAATTATGCATGCTGAATTGAAAAACTGCATGTTGTGTATCACTTCCATAAAACTTCCTCCGTATTCAATTTACTTGAACTTGAAATGTTTATGCAGAAAAAATGCAATTAATTGCACTGAATTCTGTTCGAACTATTTCTTTTGGGCATGATTGTGTAACAATTTTCCACAACCTTTCTGTTCTTTTGTTTGTGTTAGTTCGACACGAAAAAGTCGGCGGCGAAGACCCATTAGTTCAAGTTCGAAAATTTCATTTATGAGTTTTGATTTTTCCTGAAAGATGCATGTGGCATGGAAATTGTTCGATTAAAATGTCAATTAAGGAAATTTAATCATAGTTGTGTTTCAGAAAGGAAGTGCGGTTGACTGGACACAGGAGCCAGATGGTTCCAACATCGGTAGGATTTTGCTACACAAAGGAGCCGGTCGAGAACTGGGTCTGAAGGTAAGGAGCGTATCTGTTTTTAAGAGACGATGACCTTAGTTCACATTCTCATATAGGTCGCGATGATTTTTTTAGTTTTCAGGAAAAGTCTTGTAATTTGTTCAGGCTCAATTTTACTTTTTCGCGTATTGACTTTTGATTTCTTTTTAAATTTACTTCATTTCTTTTGTTAAAAGGAAGGCAAACGCCACTATCGATGTGCGAAAGTGTAAACGTCACAAAAAACGTGAACGACTTCTAGTTTCGAAGTTGTGATTTAATTATTAGATTTCCCTGCGAAAAAAAACTTACGTATTGATTCAGTTCTCTCAAATTGGGTTAATTGTATCAAAAAAGTTACAATCATAAATTGTTCTAGAAATTTCAAGAGCCTTGAGGCCATACGTTGTTTTTCTTGGAAATTCGAAAATTAAGAATTTTTCAAAAAACAAATTGTTTTTCTGTTTAACTGCGTTCATTGACTCTTCTAACTGTCTGTTGGCTATGTTTACTTATTCCGCTCAACTTCTTTGTGCTGAAACTAAGAAATCTGGTTGGAATAAGTAAAAAGAGTGCCGAAATATAAAACTTCGTACAAGTGTGTTCTCCTGCAACAGGTGAGAGGCGGTCAGCCCCTGGACGAGGTGTTATGTAACTCCCAAGTGTCTCCGGGTGACATGCTGGGGTCAGAGGTGGTCAATGTGCAGGCCTATAGGGGAGTGTTGAGTGCATTTGTGGTCAATGTGAGACGCGGCAGTCCCGCCGACACTGTTGCGGGAATCGTGCCAGGTATGAACGAGAGTTTCATTTTCAAGCTGCACGGAATTTGTTCTCGCTCTGCAATTTGGCAGTTGCTGCTTACCCAGTTAGCACCCCATCGCACCTCCCCCCTTTTAAAAAAGCTGTTAAAAATTGTCTAAAATCTGTTTATACTGAAGTTTGCTTGCAAAAAAAGGTATTCAAACGTGTTCACTTGTTCGCACTGACATGTTTTATAGCAGCAAAAATATTTTGAATATAATTTTTTTAATTATTATTAATTACAGCGAAACTAAAGGCGTGAACTGGAAAAGAGCGATGCAGTTTCACAAGCTAATAGTATCAGCCGATGCCCGTTTTTGAAATTGTCTAATTTTTTGTTAACAATTAGGATGAAAAAAGAAGTGGACGACAGAAAGGTTTTGGTATTGACTTTCTGAAAAGTCAAATCACGCAAATAGTCATTTGACTAGTAGGCCCCAGCCACGTAAAAATATTTTTATAGCCCCACCACAGAATGTTTTTTATAATGGCGAGGGATGTAATAGTTATTTGCGGGCGGAGTATAATAGGAAACAACCGACTAGTATGAATAGGCTTTCAAATTATTCTTTTTTGTTGCGTTAAGCTTAGCGCACTTGCATTTATCCTGCCTTTTTTCTCTCAGAAGTTTTCTTTTTCGAAGAAGAGTAAATCAGTAATTGGCCTGTACTATGTTGATAAATCGTTCTGAATGAAGATCGCTCTGAAAATAATGCTCTGTTGGGATTTCGTCTAGGACGTTAGACGTGGTGAGATCCATTCCAAATTTGGTTGGCTAGCTTCATTTTCTTTGATTAATGAAAGCCGACTAATTGAATATCCTATGATAAGAACCTTCTAAGAACAGCGAAACTGATAGTAATATTTTCAAAAAGACGGCAGGAATTCAAATTCAGTAATCAAATTATTGAGTATTTTACAAGACTACCGGCTTATTACACTTGCGATAAGCAAGGGTATTGCAATCGGCTTTGGTTATTTTTCCCTTAAATAACTCTCTTTACGGCTCTCTTAACTCTCTTTTAGAAGCTCCAATTTTAATAAAGATGCGCTGAGCATCTAAATGTATTTCCTAAATTTATTTTCGTTACTGGGAGCTGTATGTCTTAATTGATTTTCTGTTGGCTTTCTGGATTTTGTCCATTTTTTTGTCGGCTTACTTGCCAGGTGTTTTGTTTCAGTGACCTTTTTGAAGTTTTTTTTATTCTTTTACAATTATCCTTCGAGCAGCTTAAATATAATTTATAGTTTTCGGTTTTTTGTACACAATGTAACTTCTATTAGTTAAACGGGTTATTTGTTTACACTTGCGAAGCAAAGTGTATTAGTACGAACTTTCTTTTTTCCAAGCTAAGTCGCAAATATTGGCGCCACTTCTGGGGCACCGTTACAGCTTATTGATATCATGTGCTTTGACTTTCGAACAGTAATAAGTTTGCACAGCTGACGCATTTTTAATTCAGCAATTAAACGTAAAAAAAATTCTTTGTTTCAAACAGCAATACGATGATAAAAAGCTCGATTTCAGAAATTTTCCAACTAAATGTATCTAGCATTTTTTTCGAAATGCATAATTTATACAATTTGGCTTAATACTTTCCAATTTTTTATATTCAAAATTGTGTCTTTTTGTGGTTGAGTGGTTAGTGCGTGAGTCTCAAATTGGCTAGGTCGCAGGTTTGAATTTGAGACGTAGCCGAGTTTTTTTAAATTCGAGGCTTATTTCGACTTTTTCTTATGTCACTTGATAGAGTTGCTTTTTGGTCGTGTTCTCGCAAGTGTTTGCGAAGCACAGCTTCGCCTCTGTGTATAAGCTAGAAATGTTTCGGCTTGTTGTTTCTGATTTTTTTGTCTGAAAGTTTGTGTAATTCGGTTTCAGCCATTGAGTGTCCAAATTGGGTTTGAACATTATTTTTATTGTAAATCGAATCAAGATGATTGCTCATATTGGTATGAATATCTACGCAATTTTTCTCATAATTTTCTATCCATCCAGCTTTCCGAAGTTGGCTTAGTTTTAAATAAAAATTCACGAATTGAGCTCTGGCGTAAAAATAATTCTCCGAATTTCGAAGGTTAAAAATGTGTTCTAAAAACCATTGTTGGTTTCCTTGTTCATTAACATTTTTCCAACTCTGTTGGCTATATATTTTTTCATGACTTCAATTGTCTTTTGCTGAGACAAAAGCATCGAGGAGTTTTTTAATGGAAACAAAAATGAAAACATAATTTTGAATATGCTTGTTTGTCTTCTTTACTTTTGGATTTGGAGTCAATAATTGTGGTCGGAACATTCTGAACTGTGTATATGTTTCATTGCATTGTTCTGTTTTGTTCAGGCGATGAGATCCTGGAGTGGAACAAGATTATTTTCCGGAACCTCACCCACAACCAAGTCACTCAAGTGATAGTGCAGTCCAAGCAGGATCCTGAGATCGACCTCCTCATTTGTCGCAGGTATCCAAAACAGACTCACACATTAATTTGAAGCAATAGAGGGAATTTCGGCTCTTTAACCGTTCCTCCAACTGCCATCACCGCTACCCGAGATTTTAGATATATTTGTATTGTATATCTCTATCATCACACGGCGTACTACAAAAGTTATTGCCCTCGGAATAGTCAAATTTCTGAATTTTTGAATCTTTTTGACTTCTCTCGAAAACTAACCTGCCAAATCTGAAATTGTGTGTTCAATAGAGATAACGGGTAGTGGGAAGTTCCATTGCATTAGCGGTCACTGACAATTTTTTACTCAAAGTTATCGCTCTCGGAAAAGTCAATTTTTTTGACCTTTTTTTTTTTGATGTTCTAGTAAACTATCTTCTTAAATCTGAGATTTTGGTTTCAATCAATTGAAAGACCCGGTTGCAATGATTTTTCCTGCAGAAGCGGTGACTCCTTGTTTTTTGTAAGAGAAATCTGTGACCTTGGGAAAGTTCAATTATCGCAAAATTTTCTTTTAGTAGAGAAACAAAGCTTTTGGGCAAAGTCCAACTTTTTTAAAATCGCATATTTCGTCTGGCATCAGTATGAAAATTTTATGCAATATCAAACACGTACCTCCAGCTTTAGCTGGGCCCCTAGTTGTTTTTTGTCGAGGCATATGAAAAGTTTGGGTCACTTGGTTTTGAACATTTTGAATTTTTTCGACTTGTTTTTTATATTAGTGTTGTATCGCAAGTGGTGCGAAGTTCCGCTTCGCCTCTGTGTATGAAAATTGACTTGAGTTAATCACCCAATTACAAACAAATTTTATCCTCAGATACAATTCGTTAAATCAAGGATTATATAGTTAAAATGATGTTTAGAGGCACTTTTAGGTAGTAAAACAGATAGGTTCTAATGTAGTTTCTGAAATTATAAGAAAATAGGAGAGAATTACTTTGGCTTGTGTGAATTATTCGACCAAAAGCAGCATAGTGAACTAGAATTAATGCTTGATTGCTTTGAGTGTTTGTTGTGTGAATTTAGACCGAATATGCAGCTGAAGTTGAACACAATAGCGGGTAGAATGGGAGGAGCGAATGGAGACGGCCAATCAGATCAGAGATCGACCCTGTTGCCTTACCCTCCCAGGCCTACCACCCGCCGAGGACAGCAGCACGACTCAGGGGGAGGGGGAGGGGGAGTGGTAGAAGGGAGAGTGGGAATGGGGGAGAATAACAGTAGCAGCAGCAGTGCCTTATCATACAGTTTGCCTGCATCTGCGTTCCGCACAACCATGGCCTACAATTCGAACATGAACTCCTCTTCTGTGTTGGGTTCAGCAGCCAATCAGAATGCCCAGCTGCATCCACTTATCACGTCAGAGTGCGTGAGCGGACAGATACAGGTATGCTTAAATAATCAACTACACAAAGCTCTAATGACTCTTATAAATTAAATGATTTGCGGAAGCGTTAGAAGAAACTCAAAAAAGCGTTATTACACCCAAAACTAGTTATTTGACCTTTGACTGTGAAAAAGTTATCTGAAATTTGTTCGTGGTTTGGACGTGTGTTGGTAAACTAGCAGAACTGAAAATTAATGAGCCAACCGAAAGTGAGCAGAGTACAGTGCTGATTTAAATTATCCGGACAAATTGAACAAATGCATTTTTCAAACTCATTTTTATCTAATATGGTTAAGATTAGACAAAAATGAAGGCAACAAATTTTGCTTAAAATTTCACCAAATTAAGTTTGCGTAAAACGTTTAAAGTTTGTTTTTAGCGAAAGATTTTGATTTTTATATAGTAAAAAGGACCTTTTTCGTTATCAATCAAAAATAAATTCTCTTGCACAGATGTTTTACCCTTCTACAACTTAGTTGAGCTGTGGAAGAGGCTTCTTTTGATGTAGTTTTATAAAATCAATTAACCAAGAAGTTTCAACGTAATTTTTCATAAAATAAAAAAGGCATAATGGACCATTTTTGGGATATTTTTTTGTTTCCAAATTTCGCAATCAAATGGCATCATAAAAGTACTAAGAAATTCTTAGTACTTTTGTTTATTTCTCTTTTTTTCTAATCTTACCCCTATTTGACAAAAACGGGTTTGGAATTTCAAATTTTATTCGGTTTTTCCGGATATTTTAAATCAGCATTTTATGCAAACCATCCAAAGTGACAAGTGGTATGTGATTATGTTTGTTTTTCCTAATTTGTATAAGCGTTCAATAATTTTATTGAAATTTGGGTTGTTTACTCGCCTAGTTGGCTGTGGGGTTAATATATTGTATAACGCTGATTTTTTAAAGTGTCAATAAGCGTAGAGAAGGTACTAACAAAGGTCGCGATGATGTTTTTGTTAAAGGTTGTGACGAAGTTCAGTAAAAGTCTTTAAATTGGATTATTTCAATATGATAATGTAATGCGAATCAAGTGTTTAATTTATTTGAAATTTTTGTGGAGTGTGATGTCTGCGTTATTTCAAAAACAACTGGGGACCAATCTTTTAGCAGACATATTAAGTGAAAAATGAGTAATTTAGCAGGCCAACGTAATAAATACTGATGCATAGACGTAAAACAGCTTCGAGAGCATCCTTATTTTCGACGGAAGCTGTAAGGGAGCAATTAAAAACCGACCAAGCACTTATCAGCTCAATTGTTTTCAGTTTACATTAGCTAATTAACAAATTAACCATGTTACAACACTTGAAAGGTGTGATTTTTTAGAATTTTGAATTTCGAAGAGTCATCTATTTTGTTCTTTGAAATTCAAAATTTTTCAAAAAACAATGCAGTTTTTTAAAGTCGATGAACGTAGTTCAGACTCTCATATAAGTTATGATGATTTTTTTCTTCAGAAAGAAGTATTTGAATTTGTTACGCTCACATTTAATTTTTTCGCCGATGACTTTTGATTTCCTTTCAAGTTCAGTTCTTCTTGTTTTTTAAAAGGAATGCAATCTCCACTCTCGAACAGCGAATATCTAAAGTTGCGAAAAACTTGATAGACTTTTAGTTTCGAAAAAGGAATTTAATTATCAGATTTCCCAGCGAAATAAAAGATTTGCCTATTGGTCCGGTTTTCTCAAATTGGGCCAATTTTTATCAAATAGTATCAATCATATTTGTTCTGGAGGTTCAAAGAGCTTTAATGGCATCTATTTTTTTCAAAAAAATGCTGTTCTGAAAAATATTTTGCATTTTGTATAATAATTTTCTTCTTTCCTGTTCTTTTGTCCTTTCATGTTTGGTGTATTTGGAGACCAAGAGCCTTCTTGCATATTTTTCCAGACTCTTTGCCTGTAAGGTATTAGATTACTTGTTTGGTCCTTCAAAAATGCCCTAGTTCCTGATATAAAATATACATGAACCGCTAAATAAGTGCTATAATCTAAATGCGTTCTTAGATCAATATATTAGGCCTTGTTAGTTACGTGCTTAAAACTCGGGTTAAACCTACTAGGTGTAGGTTCGAATCCTGTTTTGCACCGATTTCTTATCAAAGTTGAAAAAAATGGACTAGTCGTATCAAGTAGTTTTGTCAAGGGACTAAACACTTAGCATAGTGGTAAGGCGTTCACTTTGAGATCGTCATGCCATGGCAATGATAGTGTATGAGGACCAGCTCTCACTTGATCACTACCTTCAGGTCTACCACATTTTGACCAATTTCGGCTGCAATAGTGGTACCACTTGAAAGTTCTAGACGCAAGAAAACGGCTTTGAGTCGCAAAAGAGCGCTTGCTCAATAAAATAACAGTCTGGAATGTGGAAAGAAAATAAAATAGGACTATCCTTAGACACGCCTATTATGGCCTACTGATAGCTACATTGCGATTCGCAGAAAAAAAAATTTATTAGGACTGCATATTGTGCTTACTCTAATTTGTTGGTTATAGGCTCAGTTTTGCTTTCTCCCTATCTTCTCATATAGTTCTTAGAGTAATGAACGTAGTGAAGACTTATATAGGTCCTGCTGATTTTTTTTTTTCAGGAAAAAGTCTTGAAATATTGATGCACTTAGATAAAATTCACTTTTTGAGTTCAATTGAAATTCATCTGCTGAAAGTGACGTAAATAGCACTCTCCAAATACGAACGTGCAATTGGCGCAAAAATTTTTGAGAGATTTCTAGTTTCGAAAGTGGAATTTTTTCTTAAGATTTCCCTGCGGAATAAAAACTTTACCTATTAATCCAGTTTTCTCTAGTTGGGGTTCATGGTATCAAAAAAGCGCCAATCATTAATTGTTTTAGAAATTCAAAGAGCTTAAAGGACATCTATTTTATTCTTTGATTTTTTTCTTAGATATATTTTTATAGGAAATTCAGTGTTTTTTTTTATGTTTGCTTGCGTTCCTTACTCTTTTCCAATCTTCGATTTACTATGTTCTAGTTCAGGAATTACTCTTCTATATATATTTTTTTACTGTTCGTGCTGCATTCTCCACAAATTCAGGGTCTCGGCTTGCGTCTTAAAAAACAGTCTCTAGTAGCTAATAATGGTTGTTCGCTTTTTTGTGCCATTTTTCATTTATTGCCCAGTTTACTTGTTTCCTTAGTCTATAGTTTTATCATTTGTTTCGTTACTTCAGTTCATTTCCTTTGTTTAAAGGAAGGCAAACTTCACTATCGAACAAAATAAAAAGGTCACGAAAAACGTGATCGACGTTCTAGGTTCGAAAGAGGAATTTAATTATCGAGTTTCCCACCGAAATAAAAATTTTACCTATTAACCCAGTTTTCTAACTATGGGTTAATTTTATCAAAAAATTGACAATCATTAATTGTTCTAGAGATTCCAAGAGCTTTAAGGCCATACATTTTTATTCTTCGAAATTCGAAAACTAAGATTCTAATAACAAGTCAGTAATTTTTCAGTTTACTTGCGTTCCTTGACTCTTTTCAATTTGTCTGTTGGCTATGTTTTGTACTGTAATAGCGCATCGGTTATAATGTTGCAAGATCTGCTTTTGATCCAGTAGATTGTTCAAGATCGTTCATGCGTGACTGTTGCTTCACTTTCTTTCTTTGCCTCCTGGTGTTTTAAATCAGTTAAATAATTCGGAGGCCCTCCTTTTTTTCTTTTGTGACGGATAATTTGAGGTTTTTATGACGTTTGTTTTATCTTTTTTCCGTATGCGCATTTTTTCCGAGTCGAGTATGCTTTTTCATTCTATTCTTTTTTTGATGCCTAGAAAGAAGATTTAAAATCATCTGCAGTTAAATTGGCAGCTCCGTTTGGCGCAGTTAAGTGTATGCATGAAGTCCTAAATCTGGTTGCAATTGATGGACTAGTGTCTAAGTCCGAAGTCTGTAGATGAAAGTGTAGTTTGGTTGTATATTTTTCTTTTGCAGTCTGTTTTGAATCAACAAAGCAAAGTAAACCAGACTTGCTTGAAGTCTGAGAGAAATGGTTCGGAAAAACATGTGGAATATTGCTGATAACTTGTGAATAATTGAAATGATGCGCGTCCCGTAAATTTCCAAAGAAAATTGTATCGCAATACAAATTGAGTTCAAAAGCTTCTTTTTTTGCAATCGAAAAAGCATGCTTCGGTTCTAATAATGCAACTGATAGTCTGATGAAAATTAAATTTTATTGGAAGTTTTTATTAAGGGTATCTTTTGCTATCAAATCTGTAAAAAGGCACAGAACTTCCGGCTAGTTTTGCCAGATGTCGAATGTTTGGCGTTAACGTTGCAGTAGGTGGTTTTTTCAAGTCCGACATATGGGCAGGCCTTCAACGAAAATGCTGTTGACTATTGATGAAGTTTTCTCTAATTTACTTAGTTTTATGAAAAAAATAACATTGTCACACAATATTCCTGAATTTCAAGGAGCCGTAAATTGTTTGGTTTTCCTCCAAATTTGAAACTTAAAATTGGTTTTAAAAAGTCAATATTTTTTCGGCTGCTTAATTTAATTTACACCGGCGGTTTGTGAGCTATGTTCCAAATTAAAAACATGTATATATTGTAAGTTAGAATTTTCACTCATTTAATTACGTGTAGGTACGTTAATCTTATTAGTTTTGCGTGAGTCGAAATTTGTTTTTTTTTTTTATAATTTTGGCGGCTTGACATCCGATTTTTTGAAGCTCTTGTTTTAATTCCCTGTCTCGCTATGTTTTATAAGTACTACATACTCTCCTCATTTATATGAGTGTAATCAGGGGCGGATATAGAATTTTCTTGAAGGGAGGGGGCGAATTTTCTCAAAAAAATCGAAAATTTTGTCGACTTTTTTTAGGTTGACTAAAATGATTTTCTGAGCTCTCCTAAAACACTTTAAAGACACCATTTTGACCAAACTTTCTGCGGCGCAGTCAAAACTTTGAAGAAACAAGTCAAGAAAAAGGCGGTTTTAGGCACTTTTTGGAAAATTTTGTCCAGAACATT